ACCCCCCCCCCCCCCTTCCCGTCTTGCTGTGCCGCCCCTACAACGAAGAGCGGCCAGGGCTTTTCTCTTGCAGGGGGAGCTGGGAGCCATGGGCACTCCTGACTTGCTGGGCACTGGCCCTGGCCCCCCACCTGCCTGATCTATGTTGGTTCTGGCAGGGCCTTGAAGCCCCAGTGGTTGCTGTAGTCTGGGGAATGAGGAGAACCTCAGCCAGGCACAGGACATGGGGGTGGTGTAGGCAAGTGCTGTGACACATGGCCTAGACCTGGCACAGTGCAGATGGCCCCAGGGCTTGTCTGGGCCTATGGGCGCAGAGGCTTAGGTACCAGCTCCCTCAGACAGATGCAGACCTGGCCAGAGCCCCCTGCTGTGGAGGGAGCACTGGCCAGGGCTGTGGCACTGGCTGCTGGGACACAAGGGAGCTGGAATGGGTGGGGGGTGCGTCATGAGCCCACCTGGGTCTGGGTGTTGAGGGCTCCTCAGTTCTGCCTGGCACCCCTTGGAGCCGGGAGCAGTGTGGGGCTCACAATGCCTCCATTGGCAGAGGGGGCACCAGGTGCCCCTCCAGGCACTCGGGGGTGTAGGGTGGGACATGGGACAGCTGGCTCAGCACCGTTCCCTGCAGCCGCAGTGGTGCCTGCGGGACAGGATGGGACACCCGGCGCTCCAGCTCCCCACAGCAGCGCCAACCCTGGACCCGTCTGAGCAGAACACACCCACTACCCGCTCCTTGCAGTGCCCAGGGGCCACCAACTCCTGCCAGCCCTGCCAGGTGTCTTGGTGCTGGGGCCGTGTGTGGAGCCCCTGGCTGGCGCCCCCCAGCCTCACACTGCAGTCGCTGAGCCAGAGGCTATTTATAAGCACCGGAGCCGCTGTTGTGTTTCTTGGTTGCCTGGTGATGGGTGCCGGCCGCCTGCACATCCTTCCAGGGTATAAATAAAGTGAGCAGCTGATGAAGCAGGGGTGACCGGGCGGGGGGCCAGCCCCTGTGGGATGTGGCTCGGCCTTGACAGGGCAGAGCGAGCTGAGCTCCTGGAGGCTGGGACATCCAGGCTCGATCCAGGGTGGGGGGCAGTGCAGGGAGGAGAGGTGGGCCTCTCGGTTCTTGCTACCTGGCCTCCAGCAGGGCCCGTCCCCTCCCTGTGCCATGGGGGTCACCATGGCACCCCCTGCCCTGGGAGCTGGGAGTTGTGCATGCCAGGCATGGGGCTCTGCCCTGTCCTGGGTTCCCTTGGGGGCTCCGTCCTGTGTCTTGTGCCCACTCTGCTTGTCCTGCTCTTGCCACATTGCCAAGACTAGCCAGGGAGACAGCCTCCTGGGAACCTCTGGCTGAGACCGAGCCTGGCAAGAGGCAGGGCCCTGGTAGGGGAGACCATCTGGAACCACATCTGCCACTGTGCTGCCCTGCCAGCCCACACGGCTGGGCCACCACCAGTGTTTACCCTAGGGCCAAGGCCAGCAGAGGTGGCTGGGGCTAGGAGTGCAACCCGAGGCCCCCCGCCTACTCCCCAGCCAGGGCTCAACTGGGCCTTCCAGGACACTGAAGCCAATATCCCCCCAGGCAGCCAGGGCACTGTGAGCCGTGGTGCTGGGGCAAGTCATAGTTTCATAGTTTCATAGTTTTAGGGTCGGAAGGGACCTAATAGATCTTCTAGCCCGACCCCCCGCCAGGGCGGGAGAACAACAAAAAAAACCCCTAAAAACAAAAACGGGACTCAAATGAGTCCAGCCAGGTAGGCATCCAGCCTCTTCTTAAAGACCCCCAGGGTAGGGGCCAGCACCACCTCTCTTGGAAGTTGGTTCCAGCTCCTAGCCGCCCTAACTGTGAAGTAATTTTTTCGGATGTCCAATCTGTACCTCCTCTTCATCAACTTGTGCCCATTACTCCTTGTTATGCCAGCGGGGGCTAGGGGAAACAGCGTCTCCCCCAAACCCTTCTGGTTCCCCCTAGTGAGTTTATAGACGGTCACCAGGTCCCCCCTCAGCCTTCTCTTGTGGAGGCTGAATAGGTTCAGGGCCCGCAGTCTCTCACTGTAGGGTCTGCCCTGTTGCCCCCGGATCATGCGGGTGGCCCTCCTCTGGACCCTCTCCCTGTTGTCCACATCCCTCCTGAAATGGGGCGCCCAGAACTGGACACAATACTCCAGCTGCGGCCTGACCAGCATCGCATAGAGGGGGAGGATCACCTCCCTGGCTCTACTCGAGATGCAGGGACAATCCCCTTGTCTGGTGCAGCAGGTGCTGGCTCGAGCGTCGACAGGGACCCCAGGGAGCCAACTCTTCTGTAGCAGCTTTCAGGGCTCTAAAACCATCTGCATCCTTTATTGGCAAGGGCTGTGGCTCACGGGCATGCACGGGTCAGAGCGATGCATGCATCTACATGTGTGGGCACCTGTGTGGGCCTGGGCATGCTTATGTGGGCATGTGTGTCCTCACGTGTGTACATGTATGTGCCTGCCTCGGAGGGGAGGTCGTGTGTTCACGTGTTCGTATGTGTTCGTATGTGCGTGCGCCTGCCCACACGGGCGTGTGCTGCGTCACCCAGGGTGCAGGGTGCTGGCTGGGCAGCCCCGAGCTCCGACTGCAGTCACTGTTGTGTGCAAGCTCTGGAGTGGAGACCTTTGCTCCAGAGGAAGCAGGGTAGGGATGCCGTCTCCTGCAGCACCGCGCCTGGCCCTTGCCTGTGTGGCTGGACCTGACCTGCCTATACGAAGCCTCCTGTCACTGCCTGCTCTGGAAGGGCTTTCACGGAGCCTGCTCCAGTCCCTGTCCCAGGCCTGTTGGACCCTTGGGTGTGGGGGGAGCTGGGGTGGAGGCAAGAGGGCCCTGGGATGATGGGCCAGGCCAGTGCCAGCATGGATGTGGGGATGAGAGAGGGTGCTTGGGTGCAGAGACAGACTAAAGACTGTGTTGTCTCCCCTTCCAGACCGAAGCTTGCAGCTGAGTCCCTGGGAGAGCAGCATCGTGGACCGGCTCATGACGCCCACACTTTCCTTTCTGGCCCGCAGCCGCAGCGCCGTGACACTGGCTGGGAATGGCAAGGAACAGGGTAAGCTGGGCCACAGGGACTGTGGCTGAGGTTGGGGCAGGACCCGAGCTGTCAGGGCCTGAGCCAAGGTTTGGGGAGTGGCCTGTAGCTCCCAAGCCTCAGGGGTTGAGGGTGACCACTGTGGGCAGGAGCAGGGGTGGGCACTGGGCAGAGCCCCCTTACTCCCAGGACTGATCCAAGAGCAGGGCTGCGGGTGCCTGGTGGGAGGCATGGGCAGTGGTGCTGGGTTTCCTGCCATCTCCGGAGGGCATTGGGTCTCTTGCTGTCCATGTCAGTGGGGATGGGCGCTGGGGCAGTTGCATGCAGCCAGAAAGGCCTTGCATCAAACTGCCCCGTCTCTCTGCAGCCTGTCCCCCACTGTCTTGAGACCCTCCCTCCCCGTCCCCGTCCCCCTCCCACTCATTCCTGTGGCTCAGGCAGGATCAGGTTGGCTCCCCTGGGGCTGGGGCTGGGGCTGGGGCTGGGGCTGGGCCTGGCCTGGCCTTGCTCACCTGGGGCAGTGCCCCCTGGCTCTGCAGGGCTGCTCACTCACAGCCAGGGCCCTGTTGCCAGTGGTCCAAGCCCTACCAGGCCCCAATCTCCTTCACAGGGACCCTGACCACTTCTCTCTGCCCACAGGAGTGCCCGTGTGCCCCCGCTCCACCTCTGCCAGCCCCCTCAGCCCCTGCAACAACCACCGCGTGCAGCACCGGTGCTGGGAGCGCCGGAAGGGGACAGCCGGCAGCCCTGATGTAACGCCGCGCCGGAGAGCTGAGTCCTTGCCAGTGAGTGCTCCCTGCCCTGCCCTGCCCCAGCTCTGCACAGCAGTGTGGCAGGAAAACAGCTGACAGCTGGCCCCTCCAGGGCCCCAGCCCCGTGCTGGTCCCTGGGGAGCCTCCTCTGCCTGGCACTGGCCAGAACACGTGCCCAGTGGGAGTCGATCGCAGCACTGACCCCAGCTGCTGACAGGGCACCTGCGAGTGAAAGGCACTGGCCACCTGTTCTCCAGTCAGCATCCACCTGCTCTTCCTGCCACCTCCCCAGTCCAACGCGAGAGCCAGAGGTGCTGGAGCCCATCCCAGCTCCAGGCAGGGCTCCATGCCTTGGTTTCCCCACCCTGCTGGGTCATGCACCCCTTGTGCTGGCATCAGCACTGCTGCAACATAGTTTGCCCATCCTCGGGGCTCTGACCCAGATTCTTCCTCCCTCCCGCATGCAGAAGAGGAAGGAGAAGAAAGACAAGGAGCGGGAAAATGCCAAGGAGCGCAGCGCCCTGTCCCGTGAGCGTGGCCTCAAGAAGCGCCAGTCCCTGCCCGGAGGCCAGCCCAAGCTCCTGACCGCAGCTGAGAGCAGGTCAGAGTCTGGGCCACAAGCCTCTCTCCACAGGGGAGCTGTGAGCCCTAGGGTGGGGTGTGCCAGGCATCTCAGGACTGTGACCTGGGGGCGGGGGGGCTCTGTAGGCTGGGTCTGGCTTGGGCTCTGGCTTCCCAGGCCAGGGGGTGAGGCCACCCAATGTCCAGGCTGCAGCATGGGGGCAGGTCCCTTGGGGGCCTCCCATGGTTTCCCCATCACATCCTTGCTTTGCTCCCTTCACAGTCCAAAGAACCGGCCCTCGTCACCCGCCACCCCCAAGGCCCGGCCGGCGTCCCCCAGCCCTGCGCTCGGCTCACCCCACAGGCCCCCGCTGCCCCGCAGCACCCACGCCTCTCCCAAGGTGCGGGCTAGGATCAAGGAGGAGCGGAAGGAGCGAGGGAGGAAGGAGGAGGAGAAGGACACTGCCTCCCCAGCCCCGACTGATGCCCCCAAGACTCCCAGGGCCACAGAGGAGCCCCCAGGTCTGAGAGCATACACCTACCCCAGGGGCCTCATCTGGTTGCGCACACCATGTGCCCCACACAGGTTCTGGTCTGGGGTGGGGGTAGGGATGGGTTCACAGGGTCAGAAGGAGCAAAGGCTCCTGGGTTCCCTCTGCAGCCTGGGAGGGTGTGGGAATGGGAGAGGAGGGCCCAGGAGGAGCTCGGTCCTCTCTCTGGAGGGGTGAGGGCACCCTGAACTCGCTCTGTGAGGCTTTATGCATTGTGCAGGTGCCGCAGCCCCCTCGGGTGCCCCCAGCCCGCCACCTGCCCCTGCTACACCGTCAGGCCGGCCCACAGCGGGCACCACAGACCGTGAGGAAGCTGCCCGCCTGCTGTCGGAGAAACGTCGGCAAGCCCGTGAGCAGCGGGAACGCGAGGAGCAGGAGCGTCGGGAGCAGGAGGAGCGGGAGCGGTGAGTCCTGGTGGGAGTGGGGAGGCAGTGTTCATCTGGCCAGTAGGTGCCCCCAGCACACCCGGCCCCCCACACAGCTGGCTAGGAACATGCTTGGCCTTGCAGCCCCAGGGCCAGCGAGGTTGGCGCAGCTGTGGAATCAGGCCCAGGACCCCGCCCTGGGTTAGGGGTGCAGCAGGCGGGCAGGGCAGACCGGACTCCCTGGCCATGCCGAATGCTGAGGGCCCTTGTGCCACAGGTGTGAAGCAGAGGAGCAGGCGCGCCGGGCGGCCGAAGAGCGGGCACGGCGGGCGGCAGAGGCACGCCGGCAGGATGAGGAGCGCCGGCGGCAGGATGAAGAGCGACAGCAGCAGGAGGAGCGCGAGGCACAGGAGAGGGCACAAGCCGAGCAGGAGGAGATGCAGCGGCTCCAGAAGCAGGTGGGCCCAGGCACAGCCGGGGGCCATTCAGGAGGGGACAAAGTGCAGTCAGATGCTGTGGAGAGGGAGCTGGGCCAGATCTGTCCCTGCCACTGTGCCGAGGAGCCATATTGACTCTGCTTCAGCCCTGGGGCCCTGCCAGCTGTCTGCCTGGGGCAGGGAGCACAAGCAGGGCTGTGCCCTACGGCCCTTTGGGGTAAGAGGGCTGCCCCAGCAGGGCTTTGCTGTATGCAGCCTAGGACCCAGCTGTACCTACCCACACTACAGGGGCCTCCCTGGTCCCTGTTGTCCCCACCTGCTGGTGTGGCAGTGTGTGCTGTCCCCCCTCCAGGGCTGGGTCGAGTCCCCCACCCTGCCACATGGTGCCCGCAACCCATAGTGCTCGCCTGTGAAGCTGCCCTCCCCAGCCCACAGGGCATGGTTCTGCCTGGCTTGGCCCCACCATGGCAGAGGCTGCATTAATCCCTAACCCCTGCAGAGGGAAGAAGCCGAGGCACGGGCCCGGGAGGAGGCCGAGAGACAGCGGCTGGAGCGGGAGAAGCACTTCCAGAGGGAGGAGCAGGAGCGGCTGGAGAGGAAGAAGGTGGGAAATGAAGCGGGCTGCGGCAAGGGCGTGTGTTGTAGGGAGCACATGCAGGTCCTGAGACCTCAGGCCAGGGGTGGGGAACAGGTACAGAGCCCTGGGAGACCAATGTGGTGTGGTGCACAGCAGTGAGGCAGAGGAAGGGCAGGGGGCATGTGTCCAGAAGGGCGGGGGCAGCCTGGGCTGGGGCACAGGGGTCTCTGGCTGGGGGCCAAGGGGACATCCTGGAGATGCAGTGCAGGGAAGTCCTCGGCCCCCCAGGCAGACCCAAGCTGGGTCGGCTGCACCGCCGGACTGCCCAGGGCCCCAGCTCAAGTGACTCAGCCTCTCCCACCCACAGCGGCTGGAAGAGATCATGAAGAGGACGCGCAAGTCTGACACGGCTGACACCAAGGTGGGTCTCACCGGGCAACAGTGGGGCGGCTCCAGGGGAGGTGGGACACCCCTGCCCTGTGCTGTGGGTATGAGCAGGGGCGTCCCCAGCAGGGTCTGTGCCTGGGGCAATGGTGGTCCCAGTCTGCACCCCTGTCTGTAAGGGATCTGGGCACCAGTCGTGCCTGCTCCCTACTCAGAGCTGGGCCCAAGCTGCTGCTGTGGCAGTCTGCAGGAGCAGGGCTCACCCTGGCCCGCGAGGCAGGCAGCCCATCACTCTCCATCCTTTTTACAGAAGACAGAAGACAAGAAAATGGTGAATGGGAAAGAAGCCAGGCAGGAGGGTGACACCGGCTCAGGTGAGCTCGTGGCTTTCCCTGCCCCCCAGCCTGCCAGGACCATGGAATAGATGCGGGGGCCTGGCAGGACCCCAGCCTCACCACTGCACCCTCACCCCTGTGGTCTGTCTGGGCACCCAGCCCTACTCTGTCAGTGAATGCGGTGGGGAGGGGGCGGGGATGGTACAAAGTGCTGGGCTTGATCACTCCTAGTCTGGGCCTGCCCCACTCCGCCCTGCCCTGGCCCTGGGGCTGACACCCCTGTGCCCTGTTCTCCAGGCTGTGAGAAGCGGCTGGGGCTGCTGGCTAAGGAGGAAGAGCTGCCTGAGAAGGAGATGCCAAGTACTGAGAGCCCAGATGTGCGGCAGGGGACTGCCCCCGAGGGACTGCCGCCCAGGTATGTGCTGGGTTGCAGGGCATGGGGGGAGGTTGTGGTAGCTGCGCTCCACCACGCATGGAGCATGGCCCCGCTAAGGTGTTTCACAGCCCTCCTGCGTCTCCCACAGCCCTCTCGCAAAGACCACAGCTGCCCCTGTAGCCCTGGTGAACGGCGTGCAGCCCAGCAAGCATGAGAACGGGATCCACGCCAAGGCGGCGGGGCCGGGTGTGGTGGAGCTGGCACACCACGGCAGCACTGGGGACCCCCTCATCCCCTTCGGGGACGCTGAGCCCTTCCTCAAGAAGGCTGTCGTCTCACCCCCCCAGGTCACAGGTGAGGGGCTGGCCCGCTCCTCCTTTGGGCAGGCTGGGGTCAGCTCAGGGTGGAGGGAGGTCCCGGGGAAAGCCCTGGCAGCCTCCAGGCAGTCCTGTGCCTCCTGCATCTGGGGCAGGGGCATCTTCTCAGCCAGGCCCAGAGGAGCCGGGGGGCTGCTCCAGGCACTGGGGGCGGGTGGGAAATGCTGCGCGTGCCCCCTCCTAACGCGCCCTCTCTCCCGCCCGCAGAAGTGCTGTGAGGGGCCGTGCCCTGCAGAGCGCCCGTGTCCGCGGCTCCCGGCGCGGCGCCCAAGTGCCAACACGCGGCCGCGGCAGAGCTGTAGCTGTTACCGGACGACGACCCGCGACGGCCCCTCGCGCCCGGGCAGCGGCAGGGTGCAGCCCCCTTCCCCAGGGCTGGGGCCTGCTCTCGTTCTTGGTTTTTGTTATTTTAACGTGCACCTTATCGGACTGCCCTTCA